TTTTTATAAAATTTATACTATATTTAAAATATTGCTAAAATTTTCGATTTATATTCCCAAAGTTTATAGTTTTCTCATGCTAAAAAAAATAATCGTACCAGAATCGTACCAGTATTTGTTAATGCAGATAATACGGTAAACTTATCACTTCATGATCGCATTAGATATAACAAAGCTTAATGTTTGGGGGCGATAAGTATGCCAAGGGCGGCTAGAAGCTGCAGTTAAGAGGTTGGTTCCTGTTGGTCGTTTAAGCAGTGTAATAAAATTCCTAACGTTTATCTGTTAATCTATTAGCGATAAAAATATTATTTTTTTAAAATAGCGATTAATAAATTTTAATATGCAACCCAGTAAACGAGAATGGATTGAAATGAATTAAAAAATTGCAATTCATTTTAATTTTCCGAGTTCGCGCTTTAGAGTTCGGAGCTGAATTGAAATGAATTGAAATGAATTAATATCTGAGGGCATAAATTTGTTTCTGTTCACGAACATGAATAGTATGTATACTTTGTAATGAATAAAAAAAGATTAAAATACATATTTTCTTAATTAATTGCGTGTATTGAAATGGATTGAAGGTAAATGTTAAGAATAACGCCTACTTCAAATCTCGATAAAAATGTACCCGATCGAAGCATTTTCACGTAAAAATAAAGATTTGACAGAAAAAAAGTGTCATTCTGAATTAAAATATTAAAATTGGCGACTATTTAGGTTAGGAAATCTATATCACAGCCACGATAACGTAACTTTCAATGCAGATGCAATAAACGAACATACGGTTGGCGATCAGATCAGGATAGAAGCGAACATATCTTAGAAAGCGATAGAATACGCATTCAAATTCTTTGTGAGCGATTTGCGTTCTCGAGACATGTAACTAAATTATCAATTTGTAACTTCAATTTGTAATTTTCAATGATGCAAATAATTTCAAATATAGATGCTGTATTCAGCTTGCAAATTACGCATAGAATTTTTTTTAATTGAAGTGAATTTAAATGAGATAGTTCTTATTTAGATTTTTTGAATTGATATATTCATGGCTAACTTATTTAGATAAGCATTTTTGCACACAAATGAATAGAAAAACAAAATGTGCTATTCATCATGTTGAATTTGGACGATTCATGTCCACATATATTATTTTTTGATTGAAATAAATTACAGTACGAAATAAAATATTCATTATATTGAATTTAGATATATCCATCTTAGTATTATACTATTTTTTTATTGAAATGAATTAAATACGAAAAATGAATTAAAATACGAAAGAGCTATTCATCATGTTGAATTTAAATATATTTATGGATTCAAATGGATTCGAAAAATCAGAAGCGCGAATTCGAAAATGTTGAAATGAATTCATTTGAATTTATTCTTGTTTACTGGGAAGCTATGATAAAATAATTATCATCGTTCCTATCATAACACTACAGATATGATATGATTAAATATCACGATACATAGAAAAACATAAATATTATTACATAATTACTACAATATTATTACTTAATATTATAATTATCTAGTCTCACTTTATCTTTCTTATTGCTTACGTCTTATTGCTTACATTATTTCTGTTGTTCTTGTCCTTAATGAAAGCTGCTTTATGTTTTTCGACAAAGCGTAATTCGATTAAGTTGTGTTCTCAAAACAGGAGATCACTTTACGAAATACGCACCGCTATTAAAAAAAAAAGAATAACCCGCTTGTATCTCGCGTGTCTGTGGCTTGCGGTGGAAAACCGATGCGACCGTATATCGCGAATTGGTATGTAACAACACTCGTATATCACGTTACCTAATCCGTCGACGCGCGCATTATTAAAAAATTCACCCTATCTTTTGGACTTTGATGAAGTCACATAAACGTAACACAGTTTATTTGACGTATATATTATTATAATAAATCGTAATCAAGTCGGTTGATCAATTTGTTCTCTCATTTAAGTAGTATACTGAGTAATATACTAAAATATTTCAAGATATAGTGTATTATATGTTATAGAGTACACAATGTTATATCACACAGATCTCAAAATTCAAAATATCAGCAAGAAAATTCTTGAAAAAAAATTATAACAGAATACTTGCTATTCTGAACAAATTTTTGAGATAAAGACTGATTATACATATATAATTATGGATTACGATTATCTGTTCGTAAATGGCATCGATAGTGATCGGGTATGTGCCTCATAAACATTAGACAAAAGATTGTGTGTAACATCAGCATAACACCGTATGTTACAAGTAATATTTTTTACGAATTAGTAACAAATAAAATGAATTTATGATAATCGGAATTTATAATGTATCGTTACTATGTTATTAATTTATATATCAAAAGTAGATGTAAATAAGATTTGAATAGTTTTTATCAAGTGTGATGTATATTCTTCATTACGAGTTACTTATAATAATTTTAATTTTTTAAATTTTATATACAATATATATATTCGATTCCTCTTTAAGTTGCATTCCATTATTCACTGCGAGTACTGAAAATTTATAGTTCACATTACATGTACTATAGATTTTCAGTACTCGCATATGAATAACGGAATGCAGCCTTTGATTCCAAAGAGGAATCAAAGATGTATAAAATTAAAAGGATTAAAATTAATAATGAAAATTAAAAATGAAATAATAACTCTTCAATTAAATCGAAAAATTTATTAATTACACAAACATACAAAAAATTTTTGATTTATAGAAAATGATATTCTTATATATTTTGACGTTCTAAAACCGAATCTGATGTCCAAATTTCTCCATCACGTCACAATATTTGTTTTCTCGACAGTTCGAAGAGAGAGCTCGATTTTCGAATATACTTAATATACTAACTTGCATATCAACTTTATAAGCTTGCATTATCATTGAACTTACTTTCTCTCGTTTACTTCAGCTTGTATATTAAAAACTAAATCATAAATGACTCTAAGAATACTGGAAAATTTTGAATTATTTTCCGATGATAAAAAAATTGTGACTTGATGGAGTAATTTAGGCACTTTGATCCGATTCGGTTTCAAAGTGTCAAAAAAATAAATAAAATACATAAGAATATCATGGCCTAATCTCCAGATCAAATTAAATTTTGTGTGCTGTATTATTTCCTTCTTTTTATTTATTCATTTATTTTCTGATGAAAAATATATGATTTTATTATTATTTATATGATATAACTACTTACTATTTATATGTACACCGTAAAAAGAAATGTGTTTTATTCTTGTCCCTATTTTTTAAACATTAAAGATGTTTAATTTAGAATAGAAAGAAAGTAGGCTAAGACACTCTTCTCGGAAAGTTGAGAGGTCCCAGATTTGAATACTGAAGTAATATTTTTCGCAATAAGTTTCTTATTTTCTTTCTTTCTATTCTAATTATTTCTATTCTAATAATTAGGATTATTAGTGTTTCAGAATGATTGTATCGAAATCGAAAGTTTTTCGGTTCTCAATCATATCTGAAATAAATTAATTTAATATAAGAATATATTGTGTAAAACATTCAATTTTGCTCGATCTTGGCTTTTGTTTTTGTACTTAATGAATATTGTAAATTATGTATGTAATATTAGGTATGGGAAAAAGGCGTTTTTCCCATTAGATGGCATTAAAAAAACGCCACGAACTTTTTCCCACACCTAATATTATGTATGTAATATAAATTATGTATGTAAATATGTAATAATGCGCTATTTATACGCTTTCATGTTTACATAATTTCAATTTTTGCGCTACATCCTGCTTAAGGCATTTACTGGTCTATCTAGCTGATCTTCCCACTTAATTAAATCTTAATGAATAAATTATATAATAATGCGCTATTTATACGCTCTCAAAATCCGCAAAAAAAATTTTGCCTTCACTTCGTTTAACTAAATAAATATTTTGTGAGAAGGGGGGAAGGGACTAAGTAAGCTATCAGTCAGCTTCTCCCATGTTTTTAAATAAATTTTTTTAAATAAATATAAGTATTTTTTAAAATGATGTACTTATTAAATAAGGGCCACTTATGTGATTTTTATTATAGCTATTATTATTTGTTATGTGTGGAGTTTACATCGATTTTCAATGCTGCTACCTTTTAAGAAATCAAATTTGCATTCAAATTGCTAAAAATTTCCAAAGATTAAAGAATTAATTACAAACAAAATTAAACGTAATTGTAATATTTGAGAATAGAGTAAGTCCTAAGGAATTTCCTTTTTATGATTAATAATCATTTTAAAACTGATTTAGAAAGAAAATGTTTACTTTCTTTGTTATTTTTAATTTGGGTCTTATTAATTCATATGCATATAGATCCAATGTCAGAGTTTAACAAAATTTTTTTTCGTTTACTTACACATATTTTATATAAACAATATATTTTATTTTTGAAAATGAATGAAATGAAGATTTGAGTCTCACTTAGATTATTTCAATATCCTTATAAATAGAATTAAAAAAAAAATACAATAAATTAGGAGGGTCTTATTCAGTTCAGGTATCTTAGTATTTTGATTCGCGAATTTTAGATACTTTGTAATAAAATATAATACGAACTATATTTTGGAACAGAATTATAATTAATATCATTGTGTGCGTTTCGCATTTAATATTTTTTGTATACACATTTTTTTGTACACATCTCAAATGGTATGTGTTTGCTTTATGGTCATATGAAGTACTTTATCGGAACATAATAACGCTGTGGAGTTAAAGCTCAAGAAAAAAGAAGAATAGTGATCAACCAAAAGGCAACGATGGATAATGAGACGAAAACTCATAACTATTCATGAACAGTGCTACGTGCCTTAGACTAATCAGCCAAGATAGTCACGATAGATTTTTTTTCCCTTAGATTTCATTCCCTTGATACCTTGATAAAAGAGATATCTTAGACCTTCTTTATCTTAGACTTCCGTCTAGCTATTTCCATATGATCATGGTTTCATTCCATTTCAAGCTTTTGACAAATTTTTTTTTTCTTCAGAGTTCTTCCACAGAACAATTGACGAGGTGTAGTACCATAACGTTGGAGGAGGAAACAGTGGAGAACACCAATAACGAAACAACGTCTCCTACTGTATCCGAAAAAATCATGAGTATCTGCAAAAGATTACGCTGGTTATACGTAGATCTGGCTTTGGCGTTATCAAGTAAGTTTCAAGAATACTTATGTACGCTTTTGAATTTAATCTCTATAATCTAAGTACTATTCCATTTTTTAAAGTTTGCAATCAATAAATTCCCCAGTTTTTCCTTGAAATGTATGAGAGTTCTTGATATGTTCCAAAAAGAATGTAAAAAACAGGAATCCGAAATGATAGAAAAGATGGAAGAGATGATTTAGGAAAATATTACAATTTAAATAAATTTTAATTGAAATAATAAAAAGTCATAATGTAATTTTCGTTAACGTATCGTTCGTTAAAATATAAAATTGGCTCGTCTCTCTCTCTCTCTCTCTCTCTCTCTCTCTCTCTCTCTCTCTCTCTCTCTCTCTCTCCCCTCTCTTATTTTCTGATTTTAACTTTAACAATTTTTCTCGAATTTTGCTGTTCTATTTTAGATCTTTTAGGAAGAATAAAAATTATCTGATTATAATAAAATTCTGCAAATACGATATTGATTTCACAACTTTACAAATTTGATATAATAAAAAACATTAATTATTTTTCTCGCATTTATATCGATCTATGTAATATTTTAGTTTTCGTTTAGTCTTATTTTTTTCGATATTTTGTATTAAAATTCTATAAAATGAGTTCGAGGATTATTCGCACGTACATATTTAATAACTTTCAGATTTTTCACTTTACAGTTTTGCTATAAATCTATAGCTGACAGAATTTTTCTTTCAAAAAGATTCGCTATTGTTGTCTTTTTATCAGATATATCCTTTCTCATGATTGAAAAAGATCAGAGAATTGAATTATCAAATTAAAATTTTACTTCCTCGATGCAAGTCACATTATCTACTCCAGTAACGTCTATAATAACCAATTTGCCGAATCTAGTATTTAAAGCCCATTTTGCTAATTGAGTGCAGCATGGCTTTTATTAGCCCCATAAATATTCGTAGCGAATGTGTATGTCTTTACGCCTGATGAGAGGAAGTGTTAGCTTATGTGTTAACTGACGGGACTGACTTTATTGCATTAGCAAGTAAACCGTGAATAGTCGGAAGTACATACCGCGCATTCTTCCTGAACGGCTAAAAGTGCGGAATTTCGCGGAAACTAGCACGCTATAATTAATTTAATCGCTAGTGTTCTCACTGACAACTATCTCGTTTGTGAAATTGTAAAATAACTTTTTTCTTGATTGAAAAAACAGCAAAAGATATCGTATACTTATGTATAAACAAAGAGAAGTTGAAATAGAAAACTTAAATAAGATGTAAGTATACTAATAATACAATCTTATTATCGCTTTATGTTGTTCAACTTTATCTAAAAATTTATTTTTTTGACTGCATATATATTGAAATTCATAATACTTTTATAAAAAATGGAAAATTGAATCTATTTGTCTCACATTACTTATATTTTTTGTTAAATATATTCAATTAATATAATTTTATACATCACATTAATAAGAAGAGAATTAAAGCTTTTGCATCCGTTGAGATTAACTTTCAGTCATTTCTAATCAATCGTTATTCGATACGATCAGATGAATAACAGACATAGAAACGTGAGAATTGGATTCCAACCGAGGTACTTGTCTTTTTTTCCCTTCGTTTTCCTTTCTGTCGCTTATGCGGTACGAGTGCAGTCTTTTGCATGGAAGCGCATTCGCCGAGGGTGAAACCACGCGTGTAATGAAGCCTGACAGGGAAACCACGAACTGTGTAATGCAATATTACGGATGAATGTTTGACTAGAATTTTTACGGGTGTGCCGCTTTGTGCAATGCAATACATTACAGACGGGTGTTTAATTAGAATTTTTACGAGCTTGTCGCTTTAAATTCTCCTGTGCATCTGTCGCGTAATTATAGCAATGAGCTGTACGATCTACTCGCTTCTAAGCACCGTATATATGCGACAATACAAGCGTACGAATGTTATTTAATATACAGAGAATTTCTCTTGTATGTAGTAAGAGCATTTGAGAAGTACCATACATGATGAAGTATAGTATCTGTTTCGAACGCGTTGTAATCAAAGTTGGACATTTTCCTACGTACTTATTGAGATTTATTGTATTTTATCTTTATTCGTAAAATTAAAATACATCTCTCTTGACAAAATGACATCATGACCAGTGGAAAATTGCAAAAAAGTATCCAAAGTAAAAAAATGAATCTTGAATAAACTTTTTTTTGCATTAAATATAAATTAAATTTTCTTTCTACGTATGTAGAATTATTTTAAATTAAACTTATTCAATTTTAATTTGATTTTAATTTGATAAGAATCAAATTCATTTACATAAACAAATAATAGTTAAATTTTTAATCAATGTTACTTTTGATAATGATTGAATTTTGTTATGCTCTTCTCTACCCTCGTGCTGTTCCAATCATATGTTCTGGATAAAGCTCTACACAGATGTTTGCAGGAGAAAAATGAAAAGAAGAAGAAAGAGAAAAAATATATATTCCGAAGTATCAAACAGGGCTTTAACCTTTTAAACGATTACGGCGCAGCCGTGTATGTTACTAGTGGGTGTTATGTTCTCCCCCGCAACGTTTGTATCGTACAGATGTGTGCCACTCATCGCCCGTTCTTCTCTTGCTCGCACATATGCAGTGAGCGTGACACACAGTTAGTTAGACTCAGATTAAGGAGAATTCAAGGCTAATTTGAGTTTAGGGATCGTTCTAGGGGCATAAATGTGCACGTACGACGCTGAACTAACCGGATCATGTGGAAGTTGAAACAATGTCCGGTCCATCCATCACGAAGCCGATGCTAGATTATGCGATGATTTAACGGTCATTATATATCGGCACATTAGATTCGCGAAGATACAAATATATTATTATACGTACTGAAATCATAATTCTTTAAACATCAATCGAGCAAAGAGTAATCTTTCCGAATACGTATTATGTAAAAAAATACAATAAAATAAAGTAATAAATATAGTAAAATAATGTATTATGAAATATAAAATACATACTTATGATCGTTAAAATATAATAATTATTAGAACAGTTTGTAATAATATTGTAATAGTACTTGTAGATAAAAAATTAATAAAATTGTAGTATTTTTATACTTTGGTAATTTCGAAGTTGCAGTTGATCACATAAATATACCATGCATGATCAAATTTTTAAAAGAATATTTTCAATGGTGTATAAGTTGACGCATTTTACCATTTCTTGACATGGTTACACGTTGAAATACATTAGGAATGAATCACGCTACACGTTGCAATTCCTTACTTGTCTACTCGTTTTTCTTTCCGCCGCGATGAGACATCCCGCATCGCGAAAGTGTGACAAAGGGCACTTAATCTCCGTAATTTGCTCGTCTCATTCATCTTGTTATATATGGTAGTAATAGTGCCACGAAATGCAAAAGATCAAGGCTATCATGATTTCGGAGATATATCTTAAAGAAAACAAAGAAATTTGATCAGGTTTTCGATTGAGTTTTCATCTGCTTCTGATCGAAGATAACTTAATAAAACACTATACCGCTATATGAATAAATCAAATAAATAAAGAAGCGCCATATATTAAGACTGGATCTTGATGCTTGTTTAATAATATTTCTATGTAAATTTTAAATATATTTTATTGAGATATGTCGACACTACATGTCGATTACTGTTATGTATTTAAAACGCAATAACTGAAGCTTGATCGAATATATAACTTATTCGCTACGAGCAATCTGATAAGTTTCATCTTCATATAAAAAATAATTCTATTTATATAAAAAAGATTATATTATTTATATGTATATATTCAGATTTATTTGAATTATTCAAACATATAATTATCTTGGTAATTTAATAATTGACTTGACTTTTAAACTTAACACAAAAATAAATTATATTCGCGTATAACATAATATGATTTATTCGATCTTCATAGAATTTTTGACGAATTTTGTTTGCTCACAGTGATGCTGAATATTTGCTAACTTGATAAGGTGAGTCAGATTTATCTAGACTGAATAAGAAAATCATCAGTTTCGTGTTAGAAGATCATATAACTTTGTTAAATTGTTTCTAAGAATTTTAAATGAATTCGTCATCAACGTCACGCAAAATTTAAATATTTATTGTTGATTCTTGATAGATTTAAAAAAAAATTATAACATTACATTAAAATTACGGTATATCATTTTCTATTATACCATGATAATATAAAAAATTATAAATATAGCAAATTATATGTATTTAATAGAAGAATAAAAATTTGCCATTGATTTATGCGAAAGTTTAGAGACTTAGCAATTTTTTACTTATATTAACTTAAAATGTACATGTATTTACAGATTAATAGGCATGTTGTTTATCACGAAGATGATAAACAACAGTGCTTTTATCTCGCGCCAATGCTTAATGTCGAGACCGTGTCTCCAGATATATTTGCATATAATAAGCATATATTGATATTGATATAGTTAAGGGGATCCTAAAGCCTCCTTTTACGTAAGCACGTATAATTTTTGTATAAGAAATATTTTTTTTCTCTTTCATCGATTCGAAAGTCCTTTTCCAGGATTAAAGTATACGCATTAATACACTGGAAAGTGAAATCTATGTCGAGAATGAAAAATTTCAAAATTGATATATTTTTTAGTATTTTTTAACATCTCAGCTGTCAAGTCATGATAATATTTGCTTGATATTTTATTTAATCCTCGATAATTCAGTAACAAAAAAACTTAGGAATATTTTTAAATAATAATTTAGCTTTCATGTTAAAAAATTTTGCAACTGTACGTACGAAATAGTGGTTTCCAGACACGTAGTTTACACGAACAAACAACATCGAGTTCTTAGAATTAGACTTAGACGCTTTATCGCGGCGAATTTGTTATACAAAATTGATACGTATGTGTGACTACGTGTATTATAGGTGCATGAGATATTGATATGATAATATAAAAAGACATGTCAATGTGCGATGTGTGGCGACCTCTGGTGATTTGATCGGAGTTTGTTTTAGGATCTCCTTAATACTGACT